GCCTTTCCATTATCATTGATTGATGTGCACTTCCTCGAGTAACTCTCAAAAAATTCTTATTTTTCGCAGCACCTGCTTCTTATGATACGGACGACGCAAGAAAAAAGCTCATATTTGAAGGACACAGGATGAGCAAAGATACGCCTTGCTAGCGTTGCCAGGAATCGTACGAATGAGAGGTGTTTCTGCTACGTCGACGGCATACCCAAAAGTATGACCAGATAGTAAAGGCAAGCGATATCTGTTGCAGCGAGACACAGCATGCTCTTAGTTTTTGAATGAAGACGTCAGAAAGTGCACCAGTCAGCAGACTTAGTAATTTGCAATCTGTGGTACGAGCTGGAATTCTTGTACGGCGTGAATCTTTTAACAATTTGATTTTCTTGAGGGCTAGCCTTCTTGAAACTGCCTGTCCAAGAAAGCCTGACACCATGGATTGCACATCAGCATCTGATATGTTCACTTCGCACATTTTCGGGTATAAAAATCTGAAACGGCTACACCAAATGTTCGGTCTGTTCACTGTCAATCAAAGGATGGGACCAGTAGCACACATAACACCAAACCAAAAAACCTGAGAGCGAGGGGACGCGGCGAGGACGACACCCCACGATTCGACGACTTCCAAGCGCCGGGGCATTTACAAAGAGATGCTATCGTCCTCCCAGCCATCGCAAGCAACCGGTTCACGTTCACTGTCCCCTTGTGTGAATCTGATAAAGCTCCATTCAGTCCAGTCTCTCTAAGCCATTTGCGCATTATCTGCATCATTCGATACAACAACTGACGTCCAACGCGAACACTTTAGGCTTACGGACTGCAAAGCGGATCCCGTTTCATTCACGCTCAAAACTCTTTTCTTCTCTACGACCCGTGATCACACACGAGCCTCCCTACTCGTCCGTTTTTCCAGTCGGCAGCTCCAACACCCGTACAATCCAAAAGACTTCAACAAGTTTCGTACTCGCCCTGAAACCATGACAAGCCTTTCCATATGATGCCAGGAAAAACCATAAGCAGGACACAGCAATGATACGCACTTCACCCGAGCCAAAATGAAAATCCTAAGATGCTGCGGGAGCCAGCTAGAATAACGCCACTCCGGTGCTCTGTCCAGTTTACTCAATTTGATGAAACGCCATTTTTTACTGTTTCGACTTTATACACGAAAGCCAGTGATTGCTCTTACTTTCTGCACAACTCGGGACTCGCGGTCAACAGCCAGCAAACAGCATCATTGCCCACGTTAAGCTTCCCACCCACACGCAAATATCCAATGCCTCCAACTCTGCTTCCACCGGCACCTCCCTGACTTCCATGAAGAAACCACCACACACCTATTTCATACCGCTCTGCGCAAGCAAGCGCCGTTCGTGTTGAACTCCCGGCTGTGGACACCACGCCATCCAGCAATGGACCTTTCACCAAGCATCGGGCAGCACGCTCACGCCAACAAGCATTTGCCTCGCTCATGCCAGCATTCTCGCAACTCAGATACCCGGCGCCCTGCCCAACGTCTCCTGTATGGGACATTCCTTCAAGCCCTGACCAATTGTTTCTCCAACCAACAAATCCCCGCGTCCTAGTCTCCTAACATTTCCCACGCGCATACGCATCCTGCCACACAGCTTCTACTTCGCGCCGGCCATGCCACAAAACCATGCTGTCGCCCTCCCAGCTATCGCAACCAGCCGACTCACGCACACTGCTTCATAGTATGAATACAATGGAGGCCCGTTTACCCTAGTCACCTTAATAAACTGCTTGCGCATCATGACGACATCATCATTATCAAGACTAGATAGTGCAGACATTCGCTACAACACCTCACGCCTCAAGATCGAAATGCGCACACACGTGGTGCAAACAAACTCCATTTCACTGAATTCAAGCTCCACGGCGTTCCCACTCTTCTGCTCACCACTCTTGAACACGCGCCTGCCGCTAATCATCGGTTCGCTCTGTCGGAGAGCGTATACACCCGTACATTCCAAAAGCCTTGAACTAGTTTCGTAATCGACCAAAGCCATAGCAAGCCTTTCCCTATGATGCCAGGGATAGCCAGAACCACGACGCGCCAATTGTACATAAATCACCGGAGCCAAAACGAAAATCCTAAGATGCTGCGAGAACCATATAAAACAAAGCTACATCGGTGGTTTGTCCCGTTTACTCATTTTGACGAATCACTCTCCTTTATTCTTTTCACTTCATACACCAAAGCCAGTAATCTCTCGTACTCTCTGCACAACTCGTGGGTCGCAGTCGATAGCCAGAAAACAGCATCATTGCTCACATTAAGCTTCCCATCCACACGCAAATATCTAACGCCTCCAACTCTACTTCCACAACCACCTCCCTGACTGACACGAAAAAGCCACCACACACCTATTTCATACCGCTCTACGCAAACAAGCACCGTTCTCACTAAAATCTCAGATGTGGACACGATGTCATCCAGCAATGCACCTCTCACCAAGCATCAAGCAGCACGCTCTCACAAACAAATATTTGCCACGCGCACGCCAACATCTCCACAAATGAGCTCCCAGAAGCTCTGCCCAACGTCTCCTGTATGGGACATTCCTTCAAGTCCTAACCAATTGCTCCTCCAAGCAACAAACTCTCGTGTCCAAGCCTCCTTACATTTTCCACGCCCATACGCAACGCGCCACACAGTATTTTGTTCGCGCCGGCCATGCCACAAAACCATGCCGTCGCCCTCCTGGCCATCGCAACCAACTGACCCACGCACACTGCCCCAAACTGTGAACATGATAGAGCTCCGTTTACCCTAGTCACTTTAATAAACTGCTCGCGCATCATAGAGATCTCGTCGTCATGGCGACAAAAAAGTTCAGACATTCGTTACAACATCTCATGCGTCACGATCGAAACGCGCACGCAAGCAACACATCATCGTGTATAGTGCAGACATTCGCTACAACACCTCACGCCTCACGATCGAAGCGCGCAGAGAAGTGGTTCATATAAACCCCCATTTCACTACATCCAAGCTCCACGGCGTTCCCACTCTTCTCCTAAACACTCTCAAACATGCGCCTGCCGCTAATCATCGGCTCGTCCGGTCGGCAAGCTTCAACATCCATACGTACCAAAAACTTTGAACTAGTTTCGTACTCGCCCTGAAACCACAGCAAGCCTTTCCATATGATGCCAGGAAAAACCATAAGCAGGACACAGCAATGATACGCACATCACCCGAGCCAAAATGAAAATCCTAAGATGCTGCGGGAGCCAGCTAGAATAACGCCACTCCGGTGCTCTGTCCAGTTTACTCAATTTGACGAAACGCCATCCTTTACTGTTTCGACTTTACACGAAAGCCAGTGATTGCTCTTACTTTCTGCACAACTCGGGACTCGCGGTCAACAGCCAGCAAACAGCATCATTGCCCACGTTAAGCTTCCCACCCACACGCAAATATCCAATGCCTCCAACTCTGCTTCCACCGGCACCTCCCTGACTTCCATGAAGAAACCACCACACACCTATTTCATACCGCTCTGCGCAAGCAAGCGCCGTTCGTGTTGAACTCCCGGCTGTGGACACCACGCCATCCAGCAATGGACCTTTCACCAAGCATCGGGCAGCACGCTCACGCCAACAAGCATTTGCCACGCTCACGCCAGCAATCTCGCAACTCAGCTCACAGACGCCCTGCCCAACGTCTCCTGTATAGGACATTCCTTCAAGCCCTGACCAACTGTTTCTCCAACCAACAAATCCCCGCGTCCTAGTCTCCTAACATTTCCCACGCGCATACGCATCCTGCCACACAGCTTCTACTTCGCGCCGGCCATGCCACAAAACCATGCTGTCGCCCTCCCAGCCATCGCAAGCAGCCAACCCACGCACGCCTCCCCATAAAGTGAATCTGATAGAGATGAATTCACCCAATTCACCCCAATCAGCCGCTTGCGCATCACAGCGGTCTTGCCATTATCCAGACTAAATAATGCAGACATTCGCTACAACATGTGCCGCCTCATGATTGGAACACATACACAAGTAAGGCATATAAACCCGGTTTCACTACATCCCAGCTCCACACTCTTCCCATTCTTCTGCTAACAACTCTCAAACACGCGCATCCCGCTAATCACGGGTTTGTCCTGCCGGAAAGCGTCAACACCCGTGCACTCCAAAAGCCTTGAACTAGTTTCGTACCTGCCCTGAAACCATAGCAAGCCTTTCCGTATGATGCCAGGAAAAACCATACGCAGGACGCAGCAACGATACACACATCACCGCAGCCAAAACAAAGATCCTGAGATGCTGCGAGAACCATACAAAACGAAGCTACATTGGTGGTTTGCCCCGTTTACTCAATTTGACGAAACGCCGTCCTTTACTGTTTCGACTTTATACACGAAAGCCAGTGATTAGTCTTACTTTCTGCACAAATCGGGACTCGTGGTCAACAGCCACCAAACAGCATCATTGCCCACATTAAGCTTCCCATCGACACGCAAATATCTAGTGCCTCCAACTCTGCTTCCACCGGCACCTCCCTGACTTCAACGCAGAAACCACCACACACATATTTCATACCGCAACACGCAAACGAGCACCGTTCGTGTTGAACTCCCGGCTGTGGACACCACGCCATCCAGCACTGCACCGTTCTTCAAGCATCAAGCAGCACGCTCTCACAAACAAATATTTGCCACGCGCACGCCAGCATCTCCACAAATGAGCTCCCAGAAGCTCTGCCCAACGTCTCCTGGATGGGACATTCCTTCATGCCCTGACCAATTGTTTCCCCAACCAACAAACCCCCGCGTCCTAGTCTTCTTACATCCCCCACCCTCATACGCATCCTGCCACATACTTCTTTTTTCGCACCGGCCATACCACAAAACCATGCCGTCACCCTTCGAGCCACTGCAACCAGCCGACCCACGCACACTGCCCCAAACTGTGAATCTGAAAGAGCTCCATCCACCCCAGTCACCCCAATAAACCGCTCGCGCATCATGGCGACCTCGTCGTCAAGGCGCCTAAATAGTGCAGACATTCGCTACAACACCTCACGCCTCACGATCAAAGCGCTCAAACAAGTAGTGCATAAAAATCCGTCTTCACTACAGTCAAGCTTCACATCCTGGCCACTCTCCTGCAGAACGCCGTCTACAGGGTGCCTTTCTATTCGTCCGTACATCCTGTCAAAACGCTCTAACACCCATGCTTTCTAAACGCCTTACACTAGGTTCGTAATCGCCCTGAAACCATTGCAAGCCCTTCCGTATAACGCCAGGAAAAACCAAAATCATGACGCGCCAATTGTACATAAACCACCGGAGCCAAAACGAAAACCCTAAGATGCTGCGAGAACCATGTGAAACAAAGCTGCATCGGTGGTTTGCCCCGTTTACACGGTTTGACGAAGCGAAGCCGTTTATTGTTTTCGCTTCGTACACAAAAGCCAGTGATTACCCTTACTTTCTGCACAACTCGTGAGTCAGAGTCAACAGCCAGCAAACAGCATCATTGCCCACATTAAGCTGCCCATCCACACGCAAATATCTAACTTCTAAAACTCTACTTCCACACGCACCTCCCTGACTAACACGAAAAAACCACCACACACCTATTTCATACCGCTCTACGCAAGCAAGCGCTGTTGGTGTTGAGCTCCCGGCTGTGGACACCATGCCATCTAGCAATGCACATTTCATCGAGCGTCAAGCGGCACGCTCTCACAAACAAATATTTGCCACGCGCACGCCAACATTTCCACAACTGAGCTCCCAGAAGCTCTGCCCAACGTCTCCTGTATGGGACATTCCTTCAAGCCCTGACCAATTGTTCAATCAGCCAAGAAACCCCCGCGTTATAGTCTCCTGTCATTTCTCACACGCATACGCATCTTGCCACACAGTATTTTGTTCGCGCCGGCCATGCCACAAAACCATGCCTTCACCTTCCCAGCCATCGCGACCAGCCGACTCACGTATGTTGCCCCAAATTCTGAATCCGACAGAGCTCCGCTCACCCTAATCACTTTAACTGCTCGCGCATCGCGCATCATGACGATCTCGTCATTATCGAAACCACATGGCGCTGACGTTCGCTACAACACCCCGCGCCCCACGATCGAAACGTGGACACACGTAATGCATGCCAACCCGATCCCATTACATTCAAACTCCACTTATTCCAAACTCTTCTGCGAGACACCTCAAACGCGCCCCTCAATAATCGTCTGTACATCCTGTCGAAACGCGCCAACACCCGAACTTTCCAACAGCCTTGCACTAGTCTCCTAATCGCCCTGAAACCGTGGGAAGCCTTTCCGTATGGTGCCAGGAAAAAGCAGAAGCAGGGCGCAGCAATGATACACACATCACTGGAGCCGAAACGAAAACTCTACGACGCTGCGATAACCATCTGAAACAAAGCTACACCGGCTGTCTGACTCTTCATTTTGCTTGCCGCAGAGCCGTCCATTTTCCGTTTTGCTCAACATCAAACCCAGAAAGCAGTCCTACTTTCTGCGCGTGTAAGCAGCTCTAAACAGTCGCAAGGCACACTCTACAACAGCTAAGACAGCACAGTTCTCCACACAATCCTGCCAATCCACCTGCAAATATCCAACTGCTCCAACTCTCCTTTCACGACCACCTTCCTCACTAACACGACAAAACCACCACACACCTGTTTCTTACCGCAACACGCAAACAAGCGCCGTTCTCGCCAAATGCTCGGCTGTGGACACCACGACATCTAGCAATGCACCTTTCATCAAGCGTCATGCAGCACGCTCTCACAAACAAATATTTGCCACGCCAACGCCAGCATCTCCACAAATGAGCTCCCAGAAGCTCTGCCCAACGTCTCCTGTATGGGACATTCCTTCAAGCCCTGACCAATTGTTTCCCCAACCAACACACTCCCGCGTCCTAGTCTCCTTACATTCCCCACGCGCATACGCAACGTGCCACACAGCTTCTACTTCGCGCCGGCCATGCCACAAACCCATGCCCTCGCCCTCCCAGCTATCGCAACCAACTGACCCACGCACACTGCCCCAAACTGTGAATCTGAAAGAGCTCCTTCCACCCTAGTCACCACAATAAACCGCTCGCGCATCATGGCGATCTCCTCGTCATCGCGACAAAGTGCAGACATTCGCTACAACACCTCACGCCTCACGATCGAAACGCGCACGCAGGCTCTGCATGCCAACCCGATCCCATTACATTCAAACTCCACTTCTTCCCCACTCTTCTGCGAAACACCTCAAACGCGCCCCTCAATAATCGTCCGTACATCCTGTCGAAACGCGCCAACACCCGAACTTTCCAACAGCCTTGCACTAGTCTCCTAATCGCCCTGAAACCGTGGGAAGCCTTTCCGTATGGTGCCAGGAAAAATCAGAAGCAGGGCGCAGCAATGATACACACATCACTGGAGCCGAAACGAAAACTCTACGACGCTGCGATAACCATCTGAAACAAAGCTACACCGGCTGTCTGACTCTTCATTTTGCTTGCCGCAGAGCCGTCCATTTTCCGTTTTGCTCAACATCAAACCCAGAAAGCAGTCCTACTTTCTGCGCGTGTAAGCAGCTCTAAACAGTCGCAAGGCACACTCTACAACAGCTAAGACAGCACAGTTCTCCACACAATCCTGCCAATCCACCTGCAAATATCCAACTGCTCCAACTCTCCTTTCACGACCACCTTCCTCACTAACACGACAAAACCACCACACACCTGTTTCTTACCGCAACACGCAAACAAGCGCCGTTCTCGCTAAATGCTCGGCTGTGGACACCACGACATCTAGCAACGCACCTTTCATCAAGCGTCATGCAGCACGCTCTCACAAACAAATATTTGCCACGCCAACGCCAGCATCTCCACAAATGAGCTCCCAGAAGCTCTGCCCAACGTCTCCTGTATGGGACATTCCTTCAAGCCCTGACCAATTGTTTCCCCAACCAACACATTCCCGCGTCCTAGTCTCCTTACATTCCCCACGCGCATACGCAACGTGCCACACAGCTTCTACTTCGCGCCGGCCATGCCACAAACCCATGCCCTCGCCCTCCCAGCTATCGCAACCAACTGACCCACGCACACTGCCCCAAACTGTGAATCTGAAAGAGCTCCATCCACCCTAGTCACCACAATAAACCGCTCGCGCATCATGGCGATCTCCTCGTCATCGCGACAAAATAGTGCAGACATTCGCTACAACACCTCACGCCTCACGATCGAAACGCGCACGCAGGCTCTGCATGCCTACCCGATCCCATTACATTCAAACTCCACTTCTTCCCCACTCTTCTGCGAAACACCTCAAACGCGCCCCTCAATAATCGTCCGTACATCCTGTCGAAAAGCGCCAACACCCGAACTTTCCAACAGCCTTGCACTAGTCTCCTAATCGCCCTGAAACCGTGGGAAGCCTTTCCGTATGGTGCCAGGAAAAACCAGAAGCAGGGCGCAGCAATGATACACACATCACTGGAGCCGAAACGAAAACTCTACGACGCTGCGATAACCATCTGAAACAAAGCTACACCGGCTGTCTGACTCTTCATTTTGCTTGCCGCAGAGCCGTCCATTTTCCGTTTTGCTCAACATCAAACCCAGAAAGCAGTCCTACTTTCTGCGCGTGTAAGCAGCTCTAAACAGTCGCAAGGCACACTCTACAACAGCTAAGACAGCACAGTTCTCCACACAATCCTGCCAATCCACCTGCAAATATCCAACTGCTCCAACTCTCCTTTCACGACCACCTTCCTCACTAACACGACAAAACCACCACACACCTGTTTCTTACCGCAACACGCAAACAAGCGCCGTTCTCGCTAAATGCTCGGCTGTGGACACCACGACATCTAGCAATGCACCTTTCATCAAGCGTCATGCAGCACGCTCTCATGAACAAATATTTGCCACGCCAACGCCAGCATCTCCACAAATGAGCTCCCAGAAGCTCTGCCCAACGTCTCCTGTATGGGACATTCCTTCAAGCCCTGACCAATTGTTTCCCCAACCAACACACTCCCGCGTCCTAGTCTCCTTACATTCCCCACGCGCATACGCAACGTGCCACACAGCTTCTACTTCGCGCCGGCCATGCCACAAACCCATGCCCTCGCCCTCCCAGCTATCGCAACCAACTGACCCACGCACACTGCCCCAAACTGTGAATCTGAAAGAGCTCCTTCCACCCTAGTCACCACAATAAACCGCTCGCGCATCATGGCGATCTCCTCGTCATCGCGACAAAATAGTGCAGACATTCGCTACAACACCTCACGCCTCACGATCGAAACGCGCACGCAGGCTCTGCATGCCAACCCGATCCCATTATATTCAAACTCCACTTCTTCCCCACTCTTCTGCGAAATACCTTCAAACGCGCCCCTCAATAATCGTCCGTACATCCTGTCGAAACGCGCCAACACCCGAACTTTCCAACAGCCTTGCACTAGTCTCCTAATCGCCCTGAAACCGTGGGAAGCCTTTCCGTATGGTGCCAGGAAAAATCAGAAGCAGGGCGCAGCAATGATACACACATCACTGGAGCCGAAACGAAAACTCTACGACGCTGCGATAACCATCTGAAACAAAGCTACACCGGCTGTCTGACTCTTCATTTTGCTTGCCGCAGAGCCGTCCATTTTCCGTTTTGCTCAACATCAAACCCAGAAAGCAGTCCTACTTTCTGCGCGTGTAAGCAGCTCTAAACAGTCGCAAGGCACACTCTACAACAGCTAAGACAGCACAGTTCTCCACACAATCCTGCCAATCCACCTGCAAATATCCAACTGCTCCAACTCTCCTTTCACGACCACCTTCCTCACTAACACGACAAAACCACCACACACCTGTTTCTTACCGCAACACGCAAACAAGCGCCGTTCTCGCTAAATGCTCGGCTGTGGACACCACGACATCTAGCAATGCACCTTTCATCAAGCGTCATGCAGCACGCTCTCATGAACAAATATTTGCCACGCCAACGCCAGCATCTCCACAAATGAGCTCCCAGAAGCTCTGCCCAACGTCTCCTGTATGGGACATTCCTTCAAGCCCTGACCAATTGTTTCCCCAACCAACACATTCCCGCGTCCTAGTCTCCTTACATTCCCCACGCGCATACGCAACGTGCCACACAGCTTCTACTTCGCGCCGGCCATGCCACAAACCCATGCCCTCGCCCTCCCAGCTATCGC